TTAGAACGGCGAACCAGCCGCCTCGCAAGAGTGCACCTATTTCCCGTGACGGAGCATGACGTAGTTGCAGACTTGGTGCAAGTGAGCATTGTACACCAGCAAAAATATCAAAAGCACTCCTGATTCTACTCCTACGGGGCCATAGCGAATTTTGCTACTGAGTCTGCAATTACGACATGTCGCGTTGCAAGAAACAGAACGTATTTAGAAAAGGTTCAGTTTCTTCAAAAAGAGGTGAGGATAATGAATGCTCAACTGCCAATTGAAGTGAAGTCTCATGGTTCACAAACAGAACCTTAAACAGTCATTCTATTATGCAACACTTTGGATTTGATGAGGCTGCATCAGTGCTGATTCCAGTTGCTGCGTCGATGAAGTGGCCGCCGCACATGCTTCATGTGACGCCATTGTCCACTATGGTGATGCTTGCTTGAGCGCACTTACGGAGAATATTCCTGTCAAGTAGGGTTTCTTCCATTTCTGGTTTTATTTTGGTTTCCCAATTTTATTTTTGAAAATTATAGGTCTGAACCAACTCACTGGTAGGACTTCCTTTATTCATATTTTCTACTTTCGAGACTTTGTTTTGATAAAGATAACTGAATCACTCCCTAATGCGATTGCAGCGTTAATCGAACATCAGTGCTCAGTGAGCCGTACTCTAGCAAATCAATTCTCAAAGCTTTTTCACACGATTCGTGCTGGGACTTCTTTTCTTAAGGGATAAGGAATGACACTAGCAGATATCTCCATTTCCCATTCCGAACTAAGCAAAACCTTTGCCTGATTCAGGGATGTAATTGAGATAACCTGGTGATTATTCCCTATTTGGAGCTGTCTCTTTGGTCAATAATCTTCTTTCTTTCACTTTTTAGCGGTTTTGTTTAGCAACATTGTTAGTTTGGAGACCCCGTCAAGGAGTATATTGTCAATAATTGCAGGTTCATTTTTGGCAGCTTCCCTGTTGATCTCACAACATTCGACAAAGTACGTAATTATCTCTCAGAGGATGACGCTATTCCAGTTCTTCTTCTCACGGATGCTCACTATTCAGAAAGAGATTGGTAATTTTCCAAGGAGATTTTTAGCGTGAGTCCATTCCAATTATACACATCTAATCTTTCTTTTTTCACAGACGACTGCGAGAACACGTCGACAATTTCATTCTGATCGAGCGACGATGCCCTGTGCACCTAGTTGATCCTTCTCAACGAGGACATCCCAACATTGAGAACGGTGGAGGAAGCGTGGTTTTGAATATCTGGTAAGAGAGCGAGAGACATTCTATTGCCCCACTTTTTCAGTTCAATATGGTTGGTAATTCCTATTATAATTGTATCTGACAGGTGTAACAGTTCCTTGTTTGAAAATCGCCTAGGTCAAGGCATCCTCCCCATAGGCCGATGTAATAGTTTGCGAAGCGCTTGATTCGCAAACTATGACATCGGCCTTAGGGATGACAGATGAAAATGATGATCATGTGGAGGGGAGGGGAGGTGAAAAAAAACGCTCGTGCAGCTGGCCCTATTTGCCATTGTGGTACGCCAAAATCGCATTTAAATCCATCCATTGATATGCCAAAAGACCACAGATTCGAAGGTGTGAGAGATACGACGCTTGATATTTCTACACTGGTGGAATAGAATTGTAGCGGCAATCCCGAAGGGAATTTGTTCTGTGCCCCGGATGCTGTTTTTTATCCTTGTGTGATCCTAATAAGTTCTATTTTAGGTACGCTCTCTGGGCCGTTTAGTGTCGCGAGAGTTTTGTGATGCTACCGCAGTTCAAGTCTGTTTTGTTGGAGATCCGGCAAGTCCCTTGATTCCTCTGTGGTTGCTGACTTATCCTCAGTGTACTTCTCTAGTATGCTTCGATCCGCAAACTTCAACAGTAGCGAAACATACGTAAGTTCAACATAGTCACATTTCCTGATATTATATTCACTTCTGTTATTTTTTGTTATTTTTATGATTTTTCTTTTGTCGATTTTTTCGGTTTTCCCTCCATCTCTAAGTGGAGCCATTTTTTTCTCTGAAGTAGTGGTTTTAATCATTGACGACGCCGTTAGGGCGACAGGTTTTAACCTTGTCCAGTTATTCTCATGAGTAGGGGATGACCTTCACCCAATTCCATTATGTAAAAAAAAGTACAGTTTTTGCTGCAGTAATGCAATAGTACACCGTGGGGAATTGAATTGAGTAGAAGCTTATTACGGGAGAAAGTGCGGGACATATGTATCCCGCACTGTCGTCAAAATATTAATGTGGTTGTTGTTTGATTCTATATTGTTTCAATACATTCGCCCCACAATCAGTTCTGTGAAACGTGTGGTGAAATTAAACCAGTTATGATGAATACAATTGGTTAGTTTACCAGCACACGCGGTATACATATTACCGCAGCAAATGATTCTAATGACAGCCTTCTCACCGTTCACCTCACCTCATCTCACCCGCTCTCTCCAGTGCACGCTCTCTCATCATGTTCGTGTTTTCTCTGGTTCCTACGCAGAGTCAACCATCCGTTGTACCAAGTTGAACAGCTGGGGTCGTATTTAGGATTTTTGGATGGAGGTAGTGTTTCTGGTTTGTGCAGCGCTTGAGCTAGGGAGGGTCGTTTTTTAAATTTCCACAAGGGGCCGTGGTGGGGAAGGGAAGGAGGGAAGGGGTTGTGTTGTCAGGAAATAGAGAGGTGGTTGTTTTATTGGTTTCTATAATAAAATAATTTTAGGAATTCTTATGAATTGAGCAAGAAACGGGCAAAATGAAGCGTTCGACATTTGTTAAGACATCTTTATGCCTCTTTTCCTCTTAGCTCGATTGCTATTTTAAAGGGAATGAGTGGGCGGAGTTGGAGTGTGTCGACTGGTCCTGAAATGAAATACTGTAGAAACGTGTTGAGAGTGGAGTTGAGGTGTGGTTAGGGGCCCTCCCTCCCAAGCTGGTAGTGGTGGTGGCAGGGTCAACCGTGCGTTCGCACTATTCGAACGAGGGGTCGCATTTGTGGTTGGTTTTGGGGAGGGGGTCGCATTCAGGGGTTGAGTGGGATTAGTAATTTGTTGGAGTGAATGGCGAGGCGATTTATATTGGTTTTTTTGGGGATTTTGTAGATGTGAGAGCGAGAGGTGGGATAGATGGGAGGAGAGAGAATTCTGCCGCTTCATTGGTCTAAATTCCCCCCCCCCTTCGACGGCCGTTTTGGAGGAAAAAGTGGGCGGAGTTGGGCTGTGTCGACTGGTCTCAGAATCAAATACTATAGAAACAGCCATGATGGCGAGGGTGGTGGTCGGGGTAGGGAGAAGGGTGGTCGTATTGGGAGCCTCCTGAGTCTCATGGTGGTGGTGGGGGGTCGCATCGAGACCACCCTAAAGGAGGGGGTCGCGAAATTTCTGAAAAAGTGCAGTTTTTTTGATGTGCCACACCTTTCGTTGTAAGCCACGTGACGTGTGCTGGCGACCCCTGGTCTACTCGCTTGGCCGCAATAGATTAGCGGTGAGCAGTATGTCATTTCTGTACGTATTATCTTGGATTGTGCACAAACTTCGAATTTCCCTTCGATTACTGTATACTTTGAATTTCGTCAAACTTTGAGATTTTCGATTTATTTATTTTTTCCTTTCATCACTAATTAACAAACAACGAGCAAAAGGGTTCGGAGAAGTCTTCATGAACTATGAACACCGGAATTACTGGCGTAACTCTTCGTCATCTGCGCTCTTCTCATCGTCATGGTTCCTGAAATGATCCTTAACTTCTCCAGAATGTATTTTTGAAGATGCGGCTTCGTCATCGCAACGACACATGCCACCTGGATTGCCAACGTATCCTTGTGGTCCAGGCTCTCCTTGTTCTCCGTTCAGGCCAGCATATCCCGGGTCTCCAGGCGGCCCCATGGCTCCCGGAGGTCCGTAGTCACCCATTTTGCCCGGTTCACCGTCAAAACCTGGTTTTCCTTTGAAGCCCATTTGACCTGGCATACCAGGTGGTCCAGGTTGCCCTCTCCCTCGCATACCATCACGTCCTGCCCGTCCTGGGGTGCCTGGAATTCCTGGTAATCCTGGATCTCCTGCGTCTCCTTCCTCACCTGGAAAACCATCCGTTCCGTCTTTTCCATTCATGCCATTCTTTCCAGGTTCACCTTGTTCACCCATTCGGTCCTTCCTCGCCGCGAGGACCTTTAATTCCAGGTTCACCAGGCGGGCATCGAATGCAGAAACCTGGTGCTCCGGGAATCTGCGTCTTGCCATCTTTCCAGGGAGACCCGGATCTCCTTCTTCCCCGTCTTCTCCAGGTTCTCCAGGTGGTCCTCTGGGTCCATCTGGACATTCGTGTACAAATTCACAGTCGCAGTTATCGCTACTCTTCTTTTTCCGATGAAAAATGTCTTGTTTAAAAGTTCTTCTCGACAGTTTCGAGACCATATTTGTCCACGCAGCGTTCGAAATCGTCTAAAAGATGGCATATGAAATGTTGCATTTTTCATTTTAAGTATTTTAAGCTCTTTTTCCATAAACGCAGTATTTTCCATAAAAATGACGCGGTCGAAATGGCCTTGCAGTTGATTTCTACGCTCTTGCTACTCTTCTCATAACTAATGCGGCGTATCGTTTCAGGTGCCAGATGTCACCTCACAAGAATATAACAAAAACCTACCCTAAATTCGGTCATATCATCCTGGATAGTTGTGAAAAAATTGCTGAGATCCTTATAGATGAATACAGATCCAAATAATACAGTAACCAGTAGGCTAGCGCTGGCCGCAGACGCAAAGTTGACAATCGCCAGCTCATTTGGCATAGTTGCAGCCTACAAACGGATGCTTTCCCTTTTATAGGGCAGCAAATTAGCCAGGAAAAGTGGTTCTATCCGAGTTTTGAAACAGTCTTCAAGATTATCCTACAGCTTTTTTGGCAGTGCGTAAGAGTGGTTCTGTGACAAGCGTGAAATGAGTGGAGACTTTCATCGCCCTTCGCGATAACCGTCACGGGGGTATCGGTTTTTACCAGAGAACGCCAATTTAGAGTTCTCCTTATTTAGCACTTGTCCTTATTTGAGGGCTCGAGCAGGTGTCACTAACTGCACAACTACTATTCTATGTTACTGTTACCCCACTACCGATCCTCGTTTTTATTCCATAAGGACCTAATCGATTCTCCAACCATTCGAGATCGTAGAGCGGATTTGATAGGAGTTATTGCTACACATCTGTCAAAACACAGCGTTTGGCCACCCCTGAAAGCCTACTGCGTACTGTTCGATTCGTTGGCGTTTCACTTCCTAGAAAAGGGGCTAAAGTTATTTGCGTGAGAAGGCCATCCAAGCAATGTTTTTCATAGGCAATACTATGCTATTGTTGCTCTGAAGATCCAGTTGAAAAGACAACCCCGGTGCTATACTTGTTGGGGGGGGGGGGGGGGGGGGGGGGATGGAGGGGGCGGGCCACGTGGCGGTGCGGCGCTCTGTTTTCTGTCCTCTCTAAGGCTTAGTCCAAGGGATTCGGAAGTTACATCTCCCTCGCCATATTGCAGTTTGAAAATGCGCTATCCGCGTACTAAAGCCTCGAGGAACTCGGACGAACAGCGTCCTTGCCGCGCACTGTCCCGCACCCCCAACTAAATTAGCAAAGACTAAAGGCCAGCTGAATAGAGATTCCATGAAAAAATGTTCTTGAAGAGGGGATCGGCAGACCTCATGGTCGCTGCGCCACCTCCACTAACCGACGCGTCCTTTATCGCTGAGTACGTGATAGTAGCCGTCGCCATAACATATCAATCGACCCCATTCAAAAATCTGTTTAAAGATAGAATTACCGATGAAAATTAGCTCATTGGAAATAAGGGTAGAGGTGGTCAGTGGAGCAGGGATGAAGAAGAAATCATTTGAAACGGACCCGAAACCGAAAAATGGGACCCCCTTCCCTGCCCGTTGATCTGCGCATTGATGCGACCTCATCATCGCGTGCCCTCTTCAACACTACGCTCTCTCTGCTATCTAATCACTCGCCTACGTATAACCTCGCGAGTGATTAGCCGTCGGTGGGCGTACCCCGCCAAACACGCCAAGAGTGAGCCATGCTGTATCGCTGAGGTCTAAAGTTGGCTGCCAGTCGCCGCGTCGTCTGCACTTCAACGACGCTCCATCTGTCCCTCACCAGCTATGCCAATTCGATCTCTTTCTTGACTTTCGTTCTATGACGAATAGTTACATGCATCTTATGACACTCAAAGACAACCAGCACTCCCACAGTCCTGTAAACAAATCCCCGTTTTCGGATCCTATCCATGAAAGAATCGACTCCAAGATCGATCCATCTGAATGTTTGTTCTGACTAGCTCATACGCCTGCGACTAGGGAAGTCCACTCTCATTTCTGGAGAACACATCATACTGGACTTGGCTCAAAGGTATATCTAAAACCCAACAGGGGGGGGGGGGGTTTTGTTTTTAGGGTGCGCGGCCGGCCCGCGGGGGCGCGCGGGGGTCGGAACGCGCGCCGCGCGCGGGGCTGCCGGCCAATCATGGAAATCAGTTCCTCTTAACCAAATCTTATGCATATTGCATGTGTCCAATGTTTCCCAAAGTACTCGATTCGTCAGCTGGGGAATGATGACCATCTGCGCAATCCCGAAATTGCTGAATATCGAAGCTGCCAATCCCTAAAAAGGGCGAAAGTTTGAACTGCCATTACTACCACTGGATAGTATCGTAAAAGAGCGAATATGTTTGACAAATGTGAAAAAGCCCCACCACCGGTCCATGGACGGTCGATTAAGGGTTTTCTTTTAAAGGGTAATTATATACTTTTGCCATTGATCTCTGACATCAATCATCTTTTTGCAGGCTCATTAAATGCTGATTGACAATAAACGGTTTCATGTTCATAGTGAAAGCCTACCATAACCGGCTGCAATTTGACAGTTTTTTGGGTTTCAGGTATGGAATATGGCTCATTCAAAGGAGTATAAAACTATCGTAAGGCTTATAAAAAGAGTGACATAGTTGGTGGTTATGGGTGAATCAACAGTCTAATGACGCGAAAACTGGTTGTCTTTCAGAAAGTAGCGGTTTTTCCCTATGTTCCCCCCCCCCACAGTCCATCATATGCTATAGTCATGTTGCTTTTCTTTTCCGCTTTAGTTTTTGAATTTAATCCTTTTAACTAAATCGTAAACATGTGTACCACTTCCGTAGTCAAAGGCACTACCACAATTTCGTAATTTTTGAGGCAGTGGCGCCCGCTGATGGCGGAATTGTACAAATTGGAACTTCGTGATTCTTATTCTGACAACAAGCTGTCTCAAGTAAAGCGGTTATTCTTGATATTTAAAGCCAAATCCGATCTCGTCATTTATTGAAGGTTAAAAAAAAGTTAAAGCAACAGTTCAGGGAGGGTCCGAAAATTTCAATGCCACTACTACTGAGGGATACACGAGCCCTAGTGAAGAACATATGCAGTGGAAATAATAAACGAACTTACCTCAGAAACTCAAAAACAGGGTGGAAAGTCCCTCAAACATGGGTGTTCTTGGGGATTTCCCCAATCCCGCCCCCTTGCCGGCCGTCATTGGACGCGTCGGCAATCGTGCTCGTTTTGGGACCACAGGGAAAATTGATTGAAAAATGGAGCGCGTTTACAGCGGGCACGTTCAGACAACTCGTCCAACGTGCGTCTTTATCCATTGCTGAGCGGCAGAGGGAGAGTACCTGTCTAAGACCCTCCCCGACGTTTTTTTCCAGTTTTTCATACATTAATCGTCTGGTTTTCATCTACAACTTCATTATTGGTGGTTTTTTCCCGCGAAACCGTTCCTGAACTGTTGCTTTAAGTTCCCGACACTCACATCTACTCCTCAAATCGTGTATCGTAAACATTGATAAATTTGCCATATCATTTTTCAAAAAACATTCCTTGCGGACATGGTTTGATGATAAGAGGGGGCCGACAACGCGCACATGCTCGCTCTATCAAATAGAAGTGAGATGCAGTCAGCTGTAGATGATTAGTTGTAGCTAATCGATAAGCGATAGTTTCTACGCAAAACACATCGGTAATCAATTTTGAAGAAGTTGTAGTTCGAGAGTTGAAAAGGTTAGGTTCCGATTACGTGAAGACCGAAGCTGATCAACAGATACGGTCATAATTCGCGCGAGGGACGTGCTCGTGCTATTGAATTGATGAGCTTTTAGCATTTTGCCCTGATTAGGAGCTACAGCGAATCACTGCTGTCGCTGGGTAATTATTGTGTGTCTTGAAGGCAAATCCTGAGCCGGGTAGAAAGGATACCGCGAGGGAAACTGTGGGGTCCGTACCTACATAGATCATGCCAGCGTCGCAAAATTGCGCGGATTAGGGCGCTAATCCTTACGGGCCTGCAACCATCGACCCCCGTTGCAACGCTTCCCACCCACCGCGATTGATGTAGAGATCAGCGTGCTCTCTCGAACGGCGTGCTCTCTCGCGTGTTTTGTCTTCTTTGATCGCCCTGTCTCGCCATCGTACCACATCCGACCTTACTGAAGGTTAAGGCCTTAATTTTAGCGTTTCCGATGATTTCTCTTGCTTTCCTCTCCACTTTCCAATCATTCCGCAGCTCAGTCATCACTAAGAAGAGCTCTTATACACCATTTTCATCCCGGGCTTGCCCTTGGTATAGACAGACAAGTCGAAATTCCCAGAAAGAAATGATTTCATATTGTGATTGCCCCAGTTGAAGGAAGAGTGCAAATAGGGGTAGTGGCGCCCAAACCTGGTACGTTAGATAACCTGTCCCTCATTACCCTCCGCGCTCCTCGTCATACTATCATAGTTCTGGTCGTAGTTTTGGGGTTGGGGGGGGGGGCGAAATTCTTGAAAGCGTGACAGGTTGACAAGGTTCTCTGGCTGTAGACAAACTTTCGGAAGTCGAGCGTAAGGGTAGGGGGTAAGGGTTTTTTTTAACTCACTGCTCTTCACCTTGAGATGAGATTAGAGGAGGGTAGATTGGCCCTGGGGTTGTGGAATAGAAGAGATAGTCTTCTGTTTTCGAGAATTCGAATAAGAAAACTTCCAGCTATGTTTTTTTTAGCGTCGCTTATACAGTATCCCACTTACTCAGCCTATACCAGGACATATGCGTTTCAATAGAGTTGATAATTTTGGCAACTTGGGAAGGGATAATCTCCTTGGTAATTTGCTAAATGTCTGTTCAATTTGGTAGATCAACACTCTACTAGTTATCCAGAATTCGAGGTCCTGTTTTTCTCAAGAACTCTTCAGTAAGAGTGCGAATACAAAAATGATTTAAAACATTCATTTTCGATTTGAATGGTCTGTTTGGGAAATATTCCTTTTGTATTGCTTCACAAGAAAGTGCCATTACAAATCCGGTTTGTTTTGACAGTCGACGTCGTAACTTTCTCAGTAGAGCTCGATGCCTACTGAGACCTTTAGTTGGCGATCCTGAGGCTGAACGTGGTCCAATAGCAGCGGAGTTATCCAAAGCTCCAAGCTGTTGACGTTCTTGTTCTACTGCAGCCGATGTTCGCTGAGGACAGGCACAGTATTGTCCATCACCGCCAGGCTTGCCCGGTTCCCCGGGAGGTCCAGGTGGTCCGTCTGGTCCTGGCTTCCCGGGCTTTCCATCTGGTCCTGGTGGTCCTTGCGGGCCAGCTCCACTCGTGGTAATGTCTCCAGGTGGACCAGGATCTCGGGAAGTCCAGGAGGTCCAGGTGGACCAGGAGGGTCGGGCAAGACAACGTCGCTGTCGTTGTGTCCTGTTGCGGGAAGCTCAGAGTGTATCCGTGAGCGACCGGTTCTCCTGGCATACCGGCATCTCCCGGCGGACCCGGTGGACCTGGTTTTGGAGAAACTGTGCCCGTATAGGAAGATCCAGGTTGTCCATCCTGTCCAGGTGAGCCTATCTCGCCATCATTACCCGGTGGTCCTGGTGGTCCCACGGGGCATTGGACGCATCCGCCAGGCGATGACGTTGTGATAGATATTCCTGGCGTTCCCGGTCTACCTGCTTCTCCGGGTGGCCCGTTTTCTCCCGGGATCCCCGCTTCTCCCGGTGGTCCCTGAGGTCCTACAGGGCATTTCTCTGCTCGCGGTGCGCAGTTGCAGTCTTGGTTTCTCTTCGTTATTGAATCGTTCAAGAGCTCCTGAAGGCTACGTCCGTTGTGTGCCCTCCTGATGGCGCCGCTGGACCATGTTCTTGCCATGATACGTTGCATAAACTGAATGTGTTATGAATAGGCTCAAATACTGTGTGATGACAGAGCCGTGGCCAGATAACAAATGTGCCAATACGGCCAGCGCACTTAGTGATGACACCTTAAGCGAAGGAAGATCGCAAAAGAAAGGTTTAGTGGGACGTGGCAGTGGTGCTCAGTGGTACGCCAGTGGCGCGAAAAAAGGAGAAATCCGTCAAAAAAACGCAAAATGGGACCCCTTTTTTGGCCGTTGGTTTTCACTCATGAACAGGTAACAGCTCAGAAAGCGGGCGTAACGAGTTCAGCGCAACGCGTTTGGTAACACCATGCCAAACCACGCTCCAATCGAGTTGCTCCAGTTGTGCCGCTGCTGGCAACGCAGCTCGTCCAAATCACCAACTAAACTAGTGGGCGGATCGCTTTTGGGGGCGGAGTGCTTTCGAAGTCCTGCTCAGCAACCAGCGCACCTTTCGTCGTGAAAGCGCCTACACCTCGCTTCCCTGGCAGCCAAGTAACTGATTCGTGTGGTGCATATGCTTCCCCGATGCTTCCACTTTATCGTAATCGCTGCCTTTAAGAAGAGCTCAGCCTGCGTAGAAAATATGAACTGAAAGTCAAATTATACCTTGAATTCGACGATGTTCGCCATGGAGTTATCGTAGAATTTGCTGATATCATTGAATATATAACCAACGATGATGATAGCACCAAATGTGACCAGAGAGGTGGTGGCCAGCACAAGGACAGCTTTACGCTCGGATGATAACATTTTGGGAGAGATATGCGGCAGTTTGTGATGAGTTACGGCCGGCTTTTATATGACTGGGGCGGTCCCGTGTGTGCAACCTTTTCTGCATGTCTTGTTTTATAATAGAGGGGTCTGCGTAAACGATTAGTGCTTTGCGTCATTTCGGCTAGTTTCCGAGCGCTGAGGGCGGCGCTGGCGTTACCGTGAAAGTGAACGACCATGTTCGCGATGCACTTGACTTCTGTCTGAGGAGGCTGACTTCCGAGAATGTTTGATGTTGGGAGGATGAAATCAGTGACCAGCGCGGATCAAGAAGTTCATGTGGGTATCCAAGTGCACTAGGGGCTATCGAATGTGTG